CTAATGTTCACACAGAACAAGACTCAAGAGCCACTCAAAGTAGAGATTACTCTATGTGATATATAATATGAATGTGGAAGTATGAAGTGAAAATTATGGGTGGATAAGTAATGATTGGCCCTTGAGGATGAGGTTAAGATTGTAGTATTTAGAGAAGCATCCACATGGAAGTCAGTTTCATAAGGCAGCAGTTCATGAGGAAAAGTGGAATGTTGGTGGTTTGGCTCAGAGAACACACTATGTTGGGTCTTACCTGTAAAGTCATGATCTGGTGGAACTAAAAAAATGGAGCTCATCCAAACATTTACCCTGGAAATAGTGATAAAGTTGTGACAGGTTTACAATGTTTGTACCTGTGGGAACAGGGCGGAGGAGTAGAAATCTCATCAAGACAGACTGGAACTAAGATAAGGCATACTTTTAATTCCAAAATCATGGAGAAATGCATAGGAAACCACTTAATTATCTTTCCTAAGAATGCATGGAATTTCACAGATATTAAAAGCTTTCTTCATAGAGGCATGATATACTATATCCTGAAGGGATATCACATTTAGAATATATAGATGATTCAATATAAATAAAATTCTTAATTTCCAAGCTATGGATTAAATGGCATGATAAATTGTGCTCTCTAGGCTTGAATGGCAACCATTTTGGGAGAAAGTATATTCAAAACCATGGAGAAAGCAATAGGAATCCATTTAATCTCTTTTCCAAGAAATCATGGCAATTCAAAGAATAAAGAAAAAGAATGTAAGGAGAGCTATGATTACCTATGTTCTGGTAGAGCATTTAAAAAAAAAAAAAATTCTTAATTATAAACAACCAAAAAAATAATGATATATTAAATAAAATATTCTGGTCTTGGTTTTTAGTCATTGCCAATTACATGAATTCTTAAAATCCCAAGAAATTATTCTGGTAAATAACTGAATCTCTTGGGCAATTAGTGATTGGCCAACTTTAGATTGGAACTAAATTTCAGCACAGTACCAAGCTGTCCAAATTTAAATCAAACAAGTCTTGCATCTTGGCTTCTGCAGACATTAATAAAACCCAGGAGCATATTGAATTAGGCAAGGAACAAACAAAATATTGCTTCATATTAATATCTTTTCCTTATGACTGATTAATTTGTTAGATTAAGCCTATTTTCAGAAAGCAAACAAGTCTGAGTCATGCTTCAATAAACTGTAGCTTTCATTCTTTCTATGCAAAGTTTTGTTTCTAAACCACAAATTGTTTCATATTAAACATAAAATTCATAATATTCTGTAGTATTAAAAGGTGAAAGTATAAACAAATAAAAAGAAAAACTGCAGTAATTATTGGCAAAATTTAAATCTTCATTTTCCAAAATTTACAATGTACACTTCTTTCTATGCATCTATAGATTTTTAAGACTAAGATTTTATTTTATTTAGATTATAAAATTAATTCTTTTCAGTTAATTTCTGAGGAGGTAGATTAGCTTGAAAAAGGAACAGATTTTCAGTTTTCTTTTTAATTTTAGATCAGTATTTGCTATATACTGTAACTATGAACACTAATGGGTGTGTCCCAATCCTCATAAACACATTGGATACTATTGTAAGTGGAGGGTAATATGCTGTCTAAGTAGTGCACCACTAGCAGTGGTTTACCTACTTCATGCCACTGGCAAATATTTTATTTTGTTGATGTTTATAAAGATTACCATTTCATTTCCAACCTTCATTTTAGTTATTCCTCATTCAATAACCATTTCTAGGTTACAACAGTATTCCTTGTACAACACTGAACTTAGTGTGGACCATTATTTATCCAAGTAATAATAAAATATTAAGAAACAGAGAAAAGAATTCTGAATTGCTATGTAATATCAGTCCATCTTTAATTCTGAAGAATTTCCAAACAAATGATGAAATTTGAAGCAATAGAGATGTGAATCTAGTGACAAATGTAAATATTACAATGGATGGAACATGGTTGGTTGTTTTATTTAATATAAACTCTTAGTGAGTCATCTAATGCCAAAGCAAATAGTGTTGGGATTTTATATTTGTATACTATAATTTTGTAATGAAATTAAGTTAATTTTTTTAAAATTATAGTCATATCAAACATAGTATTTGATAGAATATGTGAGCAACAAGATGATTTTAAGGAAAATGAGAACAAAGATCAGAAAGAGAATACTGGAACACGTAAGAAAAGAAGGCTTGGAGAATATGACATTCACAGAACATACTGAAAGCAAGAGTGGCACACAGTGAGTACTCTAATTAATAAGTGTGGGTAAATGGATGACAGACCATGGAATGGAGAGAATAGCAAAATGAATAGAAGGTTTTTAAGAGTCATCATTGAATATTCCTTGAAAGGAAACAACACATAGAAGAAGAAGATTAATGAAGTAAAAATAATTCCAAGGAGAAATAACAAGCAACTTCTCAAGCTTCCTGAAATTCGTACATAAGAGCTTTGATATTTATGCTTTGCTATCAATAAGATGCAGGAGGATTTTTTTAAAGTAAACCTGTATCAAGATACAATTTCAGAGATTAATTCATAGATGCAGAACTGCATGATTACATAACTGAAAAATAAAAGATTTTGAAAGTGTACACCCACACGCACATTCTGACCAAAAATTAAGTTATTGAAATCAAAAAACTCCATAGAACTTCATTTGTGTTGAGTTCTTCAAATCACAAACTCTGCCATATTTCAAAACCTCATGCCATGAAACCTCCCACCTTAACTCATTCCTTAGCATTTTGAAAAAGTAAAAATAATTTCCTCAATACCCAAAGATTTGGAGATATTTTTTAACTGAATTTAAACCAAAGATTTTTAAATTAACAAAGTTTTTGTGTTACTTTAAAGTCAATAAATAAAAAATAACTTTAAAAATCACTAATTTTTTTCAGCTATCTTAAAATTTGAATTTTTAACTGTTCTATCCTCATCTGGACATAAATCCCAACACTGGATATTCAAAAAGGTATAATAAGTCTATGTAAACCAAGCATGTCCTAAGTCATAGAGGTTTCAGACACATGGATGCAGAGAGAAAATTTGCCATTTATTTATTTAGAAGTGGACACTGAGGTCAGAATCAACTATTTGTTTCAGGCTTGAACACAATCTTCAGGCCAAGAAGATTGTGTTCAAACATGAAACAGACTGTCACCACTTGGTATTGACCTTGGTGACCATTTTTATATTTATAAACACTATCAATGATATTGAGAACTTTTACCCATAAATATAGCATACTCTAAAACTATATTATAAATATATATATATATATATATATATATATATATATATATATATATATATATATATATGTGTGTGTGTGTGTGTGTATATATATATATATATATATATATATATATGTGATTGTGAACAACAAAGTAAAACAATATTTGCCCATTTACTACCATTGCAGTTTCATGCAACAGAACATACATATGATAATAGCACATATATATGAAAGCTTGATTTTTTTTTTTAACTGTATCATTGCAGAAATAAGATGTGAATTAATTTCAACTTTTTCCCAATGTTTATATATTCAACATTGTTTCAGTACTAATTTATGAGAAAAAAGGAAATAAACAGAAATAGTCTCATCATATATTATTTGTTGGAGACTCCCTGAGAGATCACAGCACATTCAATGCATCTTTGTCTGAATAAATAATTACTTTTTTTTATTAAAAGGGTACTTTTTGATATTAGAATTGTGATTAAAAAAGTTTTGCTGGCACTGAGTGTATCATTTAATATCAAGTACCTGTTATGTTTAAATATTATTTTCTTTAAATCTCACATTGTTTTGCCAGTGAATTTTGAAGAGCATTGTTTACATTCTGTTCACTAGACTTGTGCTTCTGATACATAATTAACTCTGTTTTTCATTGATTAAATGTTTAGATATTGTAAAGCATTTCTGATAATATTGATATTAACATTACCTAAATTTCTTTCAAGTTCATTGGTACAGAGATTTTAGGCAATTTAATAGTCATTATTACTAAACAGTTCAATATTTGTTTTATCAGATCTAGAAAACTGTCTTCATATGCAATTTTAAATGAGAGTCTGGCTTTTTCTCAAACTGTTGAATCTGGTTTTCATTATAGAAGTTTTCCATGTCAAATTATTTTGAAGCAATCAAGGAAAGGTAATAATTTTTGGTGCAATCTCATGGAATATGGCTGTTGGGCTAGAACAAACCATCTCTCTAAAAAATTGGGCGCCATCCACTAATCGATTAAATAGTTTCAGTATCCTAGCTCAGTACAAGTTAATTAAACCAAAGAATGTATGAAATTTACTAATTATTAATTCCAGTTAATAATTAAAGTTATGAAGTTTGAAAATAACAATGCACCTCGTTTTTGTGTTGTTTTCTTAGGTTTTATGGATTTCATATGCTTTTCATTTGTCATTGTATATGAAATACATAAGATAGTGAAATATTGCTAAAGTATTTTCAATGTGTTTTTTCTTCAGTTAGATATTCAAAACTGCAATTAATATTCTTGGGCTAATCGACTGCCAAAAACTAGAGTTCTTTTGAACAAACATCAGAACATAGATTTTCAGAAAAGGTTAGACCAAGAACTTTTCAGTACCGATTGTGTGTGTGTGTGTATATATATATATATATTTTTTTTTTTTTTTTCGTTTCATCTTTTAGAAGTGTTATCTAATGAACCGTCGTCCTTTAAAAGGGCTCTGGTGAAATAAATTATTATAATGGAACCTTAAAAGGTCTGTTTTTCTTTTATATATATATATATATATATACACACACACACACACACACACACAAGTGAGATATTCATCAAATGTATATTCTGTAAGCAATAATGTTACATTATTTTCTTCATTCTTGATCTCTTTGTTTAAGATAGAGCTACTATCTCACCTAGTGATGTTGCTCCAGTTTTATTAGTAAGGGAATTCATATAGTCTTGTTGCTAGCACTTGGTATAAGGGCATACGGCCAAATCATGTTAAATACTGGTTCTTATGCAATCACCAAAGTTAAGCAAGGTTGAGCCTGGTTAGTACCTAGTGGGGTGAACACTTGGGAACATCAAATGCTGTAAGCTTGGTTGTACATGTGATGTAATGGATAATGACTCAGAATTGTTAATTGGAAAGCTTAGTTTCATTTCCAGTATACACAGATACCATTGGGAAAGTCATGAATCCACCTCTTCTTCCTCCAGCTGTGGGTTAATTAGAAAGACTTGTATCACTAAAATCATTATTATCATCAAAATAAATAAGATTGTGTGTAAAATATTTAGATTTCAGCATTAAAGATTGATATACTGCTAATAAAAAACAATCAGCCTTTATTTGCTTTTCAGAACTAAATAACAACAGTTCCCTGACTATTTATCGACAGTTAAAGGGAAAAATAGATTCAAGCTTTTCCTAAGAACATTAGTACAAAACTTTTATTGCATATTATTATTATTATCTCTACCAAGATATATGCATTCATTAGAATTAAATCAAGATGAATTCCAGACAATTATATGAACTCAACCATCAGCAAATGCTAAAATAAACACATTACACATTTACTCCATCTGTAATTGGAAAATATACAAAACAAATAAAATTAGCATTCACATATTTCAATAGTTCCACTGGATAAACTTGAATCCTTAAATATGTCATTGTTGTAAACTGACATTTAGAAGCCATTGAAACAGAAAAATCCAGATATTTAGATCATTAATGTTAAATCCAAAAAAATCTCTTCAAATGATTTATGAAGAACTGCTGATTAAATAGTTTAAATCTTCTAAGATAATGAAAGTCAAATAATAATAGATCAGGGATTGTCTTCCAGTAGAAGAAATACTTCTTCTATTTTTCAGATTGAAGAAATATTTGTTAAAGAGAAAAATTCCCCAAAAAGCACATCTGCTTAAATTTTATCAGTTCAAAATAGCAGATAAATGTGGCATAACATGGATTTTAAAACTTCAGTTCCCAAGAGAAGGCAATGAGAAATTCCTTGGCACAACAAAGATGGGTTGGTACCAAAATTACTGGGTAGAACTGATAATCTACAACTCTTGGGATATTCAAGGAAAAAACAAAACAAAAAAAATGCATAAGTTTATATTCTTAAATGAAAATAACAGACTGAGAAATAATTTTAAAAAATGTTTCAGAAATATACAGTTTTGAATCAGCAGTACACATGGTTCCCTGCTTATGAGTGTAAAAGCCATTTACACATTACTCCTGATTACTGTTAAAATGGTTATAATGTATGAAGTGTGTGATATGAAATAGAGAGTAGGTGGTATAAAGAAAAGCTTAGGAGGATTGATAATGACTGAACTGAATAGGACTCATTATAACCTTCAATTCTAACATTCCTAGCTAAGACCCAACACACTACATACATTGAAGTGAATTATCCTCATTACTTTCATATTTCCTTAGTAAGGAGTAACTTCCACTCAGATAGCTTCTTCCCAAGAACTGTTGTTTTGTGGAACAAAATTCCAGGAGGATGCTTTTCTGACAACTACAATCTTAACCTCTTCAAATCTAGGGTTAACTGTTATCTTTCACACATATCAACTTAAACTGTGCCCCTTACTGTTACTGCTTACACAACAACTAACTTCAGTAACCCACTACCTTGAGTGGCCTTTGAGCCTTGTATAAAGCAAGCATCAGTTAAAAAAAAACAAAAAAAAACATGCTAATGCCAATTATACCCATCATTATTGGCATGCTTCAAGTAGTCATAAAGAGACTGGAAGAATTGGAAATCTGAAGAATTAAATTCATTTATATGAAATTGTTTTGTCAAAAGATCTGGAACAGATAAACAGCAAGAAGTGGGTTCATGCCTTTTTCAAGTGCTCTGAGAACACAAGTAAACTTAGTTTACCTGGTTCTATTTTTTGCTTTTATTTTTAAACCTTAACTCACAATTATCACTCAATAGCCTCTAGAATAATTTGAAACAATCGTTACCGCCCATAAAAAACCAATTTCTAATTTGCATGTTGAGCTGTTCCGTACGCTGACAAACATGCATTCTAACTTCTTGCAACTGATGTTTAGGCCTTCCTTCTTGCTTTCCTTCAATACCTTATCTAGAAATTCTCATACTTTCCTTTATATATCTGCTATCAACACTATATCATCTATCTTAGTCTGCTAAGATTGTGGCCACCAATAATAAATTCTAGTAGGACTTATAATTGTCTCAGTATCATCTCACTGTATAGTAGATTAAATAAATCCAGTGAGAAGACATATCCTTTCCTTACATTCATTTGTTTTTGTATATATATTGAATACATTTTCTTTCCGTATGCAGATTGTTTACTCCTAGTAAAGGTTCTAGATTATTCTAATATCTTTCACAACAGTTGTTTTGTTAAATACATTATCAAACACTTCTGCAATGATGATATACCTGTAATGGCATTCACCCAGGGTGGGTTGAGCCGGCTCCAATATTGGAGTTTCATGGGAATTTGGAATTCACAAGTGGTCCTCAACCACATGTATAGCACATGAGATTTGATTATAGTGGTGAAGGTTTTGTGCAGGGCCATCCACACTTTTGAAGGGCCGATTACAGAGACCTGGTGCACTACGTGCCACAAGGTCCTTAAACGGCCCTCTGCAGGTTTTTGAATTCAGAGTTTTCCTTCTCCTAGACCAGTTGCCATCCAAGGCTATAGAACCCAGTCTGTCCTACTATTTACCCATAGCTGGAGGGAGAAGAAGAATCCTCTTCTTCAATGATGATATATCAGGTATCAAAACACATGGAGTTTTCTTGGGTCCAGTTAGCTATCATTATTTTATGATTCATCAAAATTATTAATTTGATTATAATTTTAAAAAATTTTTTTTTTTTTTTTTTTATAGAAGATTAGAATTCCATAAATTTGTAATGAATGCAAGGAAATTTGGTTCATTTTGCTGTGCCAGAAGATTTTTCTCATCAAAGTCCATCTTGCACATTTACAAATCTGCCATTCGCCCATGCATTGAATACTGCTGCCATATCTGGTCTGGTGCTCCTGCAATTCATCTTGAGATTCTTGACAAAATCCAAAGAAGGATCTGCAATATAATCAATCCTGACTTGGCATCTTGGCTTCAACATTCTCACCAATGTGATGCAGCTTCTGTCTTTTCTACAAATATTTTCATGGCAACTGTTCCAATGAGCTTTTTCCATGGTGCCCTGACTACATGAATTAAAGCGTGCTAATAGATTGGCATCTAGGTTCTACCATTTTATTGTTGCAATACCTAATGTAACCAACACTTCTACTGTAACAGTTTCTTTGCTCTCACTTCATGACAGTGGAACTCCCTTCCTCTTACTTGCTTCCCTGATAACTATAATCTGCAAAAATTTAAATGCAATGTCAATCATCATCTGTTCATCTTTTATCCTTTCTTCAGTCACTTCTATACCAAATCTTTTCTCACTATCACTCTCTGTAATCCCCTACGTACTAGTGGCACTCCTGCCTTGCTTGGGGTGGAATGATTTTTTTTTAACTGGGCCAAACACAGAACAATGACAAAATTCAAGTAATATTTGATATCCCATTTTTTCTAAATATTTCCGAATGAAATTGGAAATGGTGGTTTTCTATACCCATGAAACTTTTTATATGCCATCAAATATACAACCTCATTTTTGCCTATCATTTCTTCGACCTTCTTTATGTGTCAATAGCAGACAATAATCTTTGATATCTCTCTTTATTTCAATATCACATGAAAGCACATGAACTAGATTTTATGGTGCTCTAACCTTTTTTTTAAATCAAGATACAAAAAAAAATAAAAAAGATAAGCAACCTTTAGCTACTATTAAATGTCTACAGAAAATTTTTCTTTCTTCAGAAAGAAATCTCAAATCTATTAAAACAGTGTTAGATTGATAGAGTCCAAGAATAAGAAAACTGATGATATTTAAATGAAATAAACTATCTTCATGGTATGGTGTATCCTCATGTGAAATACATAGTCTATAAGATAATATTTGTCTCTTTTATACTGCTGCTCCAAGTGAAAATTTATGAATTTTCTTTTATTTGGCAACTTAATGATATATTTTACTTTTAAATACTGCTTCTTTCAAAATAGAAATACAGATTGAATTAATGTTCTGAAAATAATTGATCATACTCAAAAAGCAAGGGAAAAGTATTTAGTATTGTACCACCAAAAAAGTTGTGAAGCCTATTCACCATTTGGACAATGATTATATTCATTAATAATTGTTGGCCCTGATCTAGCATCTTGGCTTCAGTCACTTTCTCACTGCTGGATGGTTGCCTCCCTTTATTTTTTCTATAAATAATTTTATGGTAATTGTTCAGATTAGCTCTTCACTATGTGGCCTAGACTATTTGAATTTAAGTGCAGTACTAGACTGGCAATGAGGGCTCACCTATTTACAGTTGAGTTGGCTAGATGAAACCATAAATTCTATGCTAACAGTTTCTTCTTCTTGCACTTCTTGCTTGTGGAACTCTCTTCTTGCTCCCTGCTTTCCAGTCAACTTTAATCTGCAATGTCATTCACTGTCTGCTCTCGTCCTGATTACTCTTCTTTTGCTCTCACTCCTTAGCAATGTTTCTGTTTCTAACTCTTCCACACCCAGTAACTTCTTGTGTCTTAATGGCTTTACTGACTTAAAAAAAAATATATATATATATATATATATATATATATATATATATATATATATACACACATATATATATAGAAACATATACACACACATATATATATATATATATATATATATATAGAAACATATACACACATATATATATATATACATACACACACACATATATATATATATATATATATATATATACACATATGCACACACACACACACATATATATACACATATGCACACACATATATATATACACACATACATATACACACACACATATATATATACACATATGCATGCACACATATACATATACACACACACATATATATATATATATATACACATATGCATGCACACATATATATACATATACACACACACATATATATATATACAT